AACATGATGTCCTTAAAATATTTCTATAATAATGTATTATATATATCAGTTTATAAGTTAAATTAATTAATTTGAAAAAAAAAATATAAGCAAGACAACTAAATGGCAAAACTCAGTTTGTAAATATGAAATTTTGGGGCCTATCTGTGTTTAATTTTTTTCTTTAGTCGAAGCTATGGATAATTTTCTCTAATTTGTATAGACAAGGGAACGTGCCACATCATAGACCAGCGAAGCAGAGCCATTGGTATTGAGGGAGAGGAATTAAAAAAGAGATTAGAGAATAATTAGGAGAGGATTATGTGGATGGAAGGGAAGAGAGGATAGAAATGAATATATGTATAAGAAATAATAGGGCTGAAGGGAGAACAGAAAGGCATATGAAAACAGGAAGGAATGAATGGGAGTGGTGAAAGAGGGAATAAAGAATTTTAAGGAATTGGGGGGAAGGGAAGGGAAGGGAGTATAATAAATGAGACCACAAAAGTGGTCACAGTCCCACAACAAAGTCACTTTTGCTGGTCTTGTTCTCAAGCATGCTCCCCTTGCTGACGAACCCACTATCCCTTGTTCTCCCATTTTTAATCTAAACAAATCTCCCTAATATCATCCCTGTTTTATATACATCTTTTAATTTTATCATTGCAAGATTCTCTCAATTTGCTCCCAATAAATACACACACATGTACTGATATTGTGCGTTAGAAAAATTTTACTCTTGTATAACATATTAAACTCTAATTAATAAATTAGTAAGCCTGTTTATTGAGCAGTTCAATCACTCGTTCAGAATTGCGATAAGATTTTTGAAAAGAAGTTTTTCAATTATGATTTATAAAATTAGATAAGTATGTGTAGAAAATTTTGTTTCGACTTATGTAAAAATGTTTATAAACATTTATCACAAGTAGGTACAAATGGGTTGACTAATTTTATATTGTAATTGCACAAACAATTGCTGCTACAATTGCAAATTCTTCTAAATGTATTCTTAAACTCCTATATTCGCAAGTATTTTAGATTAATTTTTCAGAGGATCTTCAATTATCATTATCATTATTTTATTTTTCTTACTATTTTGCTCAAGTTTAATTATTATTTTAGTTGGTTATGAACATGGGACTTTTAATGTATTCTTATTTTTATCAAAAGTAAAAATACTACTGTACAATTATACTTTCCGATCCCTAATATAAGACCTATTTAACTAATTTGATTAGATTAAAGAAGTTAGGTAAGTTAATTAATTATACAAAATATGACATATTTTTTCTAAAATACTATAATCATATTTCTTAATATCAATCTCTCTTTTGTTTGATTACAGTTGAAAGAGTATCTATAAGAGTAATACAGGAAAAATTAATAAATATGAAAAAAGTCTTATATTTAAGATCAAAATTAACTTAAAAATTAGGTTTTATATTAAGTACCGGAAGAATATTTGTGTGTAAGAATCCGTGTGTGTTCACGATAGCAATTGGTTGATGAAAAAGGGCATCACACGTTAATTAAACCAAACTATTGTGGTCTGAATCACATGGGCATCATTCTCTCCACACAAACATTTTTTTCCCAATTTATGCGACAATAACGCCAAATTTATATTCGGAAAAATTGATTAAAATTATATGTTTGAAAATCTTATTAGTCAGAAAAACCTAAAACTTGGCATATGGAACTCATTTCCAGCTCATATAACTCTTCGCCTGCATGCAGTATGTCTTCAAATATATGACTTTTGTTTTGAACACTTCTAAACATAGTTAAAAATAAGTTGCACATCGTTAAAAAAGAGCGCTGCACCCTTCGAAGACGAGACACACCAGACCCCATGGCTAAATATTCTTTCGGTTCTAAACGTAAGACATTTTATACATACTAATATAAGAGTTTTATATTTAGGATCAGAGGAGTAAATTTTTTTAAACCGATACTTGTAACCAAATTTTGTTTTATATTTTGTGATCTTGATATAAATAATAGGAAGGAAATTTGAAAACTTGTAGATGGCTAGGTGTGGTCAATTTTGAAGAACAGGGAGTTAATAATTTGAGGAAAAAAAGGTGTGGAATCACGAACAACCCGTGGACTACTTTAATTTCAGCACCTCACAATCGAAATCCAGCCTTTTTGTTGGAGGCTCTGTGTCTCTCATAATGAGAAATCCAGTGGCAGCGGAGTCTTATTTATGATTTTCTCGTTATGCATGTGAACCCAACCCCACTGGGCCGGGTCCGTGGATTGGGCCCATGCTTCCCCCCACCTCTTTCCCGCCTTACGCTTTTTTCTGGAGTAATTTATGCCTTTTTTTTTTTGGCCAACGGAGTAATTTACGCCTTACACAATTACATCCTCACCCCTTCCAATGATTTATCATTTCATTCTAGTTTTTTTTTTTATCAGGAATCTTTTCATTCTAGTTAGAGAGAGAGGTATTATAGGAGACATAGTTTTTATTTTAAATTATGTAATTATATGCAATTAAAATTGTTGTAATAAAAATTTTGTAGCCTTGACTTTATTACAGCTTAAAAGTGGGGCCTATTTAGGGAGTGTGTTTTGATTTTAAGTGTAAGATTTTAATCTATTTTATCTCTTATATTTATGTTTTTTAAAACTAATTTATCCAATTTAAAAATTAATATATAATCTAAAATTACATAGAATTATTTGGAGGAGATTAGGTCTTTTTCTTACTGCCAACGGAAGGAGATAAGATTATTTGGTAGCAAAGGCGAAAACTTTTGCACTCCAAGAAAAGGAAAAATTCTTGATCAGATAAAAAAAAAAATCACTCTTTTACACTAAGGATTAAGGATTGGATGAGTAATTTCCAGTTCAGACTTGAAAATATTATTGAATCAGATCTTGTTTCCCATCAACTGAAGTCCAATCACTCACAGATGAATTAAAATGCATTTCTTATAGATTCGAATTTCTCGGCACCGATAAGCCATCAATTATCAACCAACACTGGCGATGTTCTTGTAATTTGATAGAAAAAGAACCACGTTTTATTGACTGATCTGGGGCTGAAAACAGAAAAGAAAGAACACCGCAAAGACTTCAAAGAAGAAAACTCAAGAATTATACCAGAAGGCTCATAAATCACCATTCACGTGTAAGGTTTAAAATACGCACAGAATCTCCTCTTTATTTTTAGAGACATACAAAAAACACATTGGAGACAGCCACAATCACTGGCATCTCAGTTTTGAAGTTGTACTACCAAGCGGTCCATACCCCATACAAATCTTTAGCTCCTACAGCAATATTAATAATGAATTTGCAGGAGGTGGATGAAATGAGAAGAGCAGATCGAGAGGGCCAAACAAATTCAACATATCGCAGCAGAAATTCCACTGCATCAATAATGTGCAGTGTCGACAGAACAAAACATGGCCAATCTGACAAACCCTGCAGGACAACGTATCAAACAACAAAGGGAACAAAAGTTAAACTGAACAAATTTGTGGAGCTTATATCAAATGAAAAGTTCACTTTATATAAAACTGGGAAGCATAAAATTCAGGGAAAATTGGACAAGTGCAGGAGAGCGGATCATCACGAGCGGCCCCTGTCTACTGGGTCCGAAGACACCTTTTTTGTTTCCATATTCCATATGTTCATGTTGTATGCTGGTTTCCATCACATCAATATCAAAAGAGACGTCACTTGGTAATTTTAGTCCACAGACAATCCAAATTAAAATTCAGGATAGGCTCGAGATCGAGAAGTTGTGTTTTGTAAGCATATGCTCCATTGCTTCAGTCATTCATATTTATATGTATATAAGACCAAAACGAACTGACCTTAAATTTGCAAGACAACATCCACTTAACGTTTGAAAACAATAATTTAGAAAATCATGTGAGGATTGTCAAAAATTAGTGCAAACTTCTACTGCACGTGACTTTCATGCTTGGGGTTCCTTATTTATTTATTTATCTCATTTGTTTATTTAAGTTTTACTGAGTAAAAAAAAAAACGTGAGGCTTGTTCACGTAAGTTTCTTATTTTCTAGCTTTATTAGTTTCTTTTTATTTAGCTATATTTTGAATAATGGGGATACTAGATATCTGGTAGTTAGAGAATTATGTGGGAGTGGGCTTGTTATTCATATTATAAAGATCTTGATGTAATCTTTGAAAAAGCAGAAAGTATTCTCCAAGATAATATCCAGTTTTATTATTTTATTTCCTCCTTCGTTTGTTTTAAGGATTTATTTAGTAGCATCCCAAGGAATTTTCTTTGCAGTTTGCAGACCAATTATGATTATAGATAGTTCCGCCTTAGAAAGTCAGAAAGCCTCCAGAGCAGCGAGTCAATGAGCCAAACCAGTCCTTAAAAGGGATTATCAGTATTCCCTTCGATCAAACTTAAATGGATTACATCGAGGAGGCATACTCAGATTCAACATGTCATTAATATGACAGGGTATCTTAACCTTTAGGGAGGCAGAGAACAACAGATTTAAGAAAAAAAACTCAACAAGCACTGCATTGACCATGTTCAATTAAAGTCGGAGAGAAAGAGATTGGGATAGTGCTTATGAGCCATAATTCGAGGAAATTAATTACATCAATCCTAAACAGAAATACGTTCATTCATGACAGTAAAATAATACTACAGACAATAGTGTGGACATCTTCCTCCTTGAATTTATCTAACGTAAAGTACTTGGTGCATAATAAAGGTTGGGGCTTGGTGCTTCCTTAATCCTCAAACAGAAACAGCGAAATACCAAACCAAAGACTTCCTTGCGTAGGAATGACAGGCAAACAAGCAACTGAGTAGGGATAAACTTGGAAGTTAAAGGCAAGTCACTCACTTAGATAATCATAGTCCACTGGAACATAAAAAATGCATATGCCTCCACAGATCAATCATAGCCCTTTCCCAGACAGTTTAGACAGCGTTGCACCCTGCAACACCATGTGTAAACATTGGAAAACAAAAGATGGGGGTGAATACATTAAACTTACTCTCAAATTCATCGACAGAAAGGACAGAAAGCATAGCTTTCAAGTTAACTCTGAGGAAACCCGAAGCATTTTCAGTTTATATCCACAAATCAGTTATTAGAGAAAATGAGTCAAAGTCATGTCCTAAAGGAGTTAGCTAGCCATGAGGTCACTGATAATATTTAGATAAATTTTTATAACTCAGCATCCCACCTTTAAAACTTCCACAAGAAGAGGAAGAAAATTATATCACTCTCTATTGTTCTGATGAATTTGACACCAAATAACTGGATTGCGGAAAGTATTTTCGGTAATGAAATGATCTGTTACTTACCTTAAAGAACTCAGCAAGTATAGTGGGACAAGGACGTAATTCTTTCCCCAGTATTCAAACATAGGAATAAGAAAATTTGCATATGATGGAGAAGAGCAAAAGAAAAGAGAATCAGGAAAGTAAAGAGCTAACCTATTTCCCTCGCAAGTAGGACAAAGGCAGGGATTAATGGCAATAGGATCATATAAAGGTGACCATTCTATGGTGGAATTTCCTTTGCACAACTTGCATATATAAAACCCCTTCCCTCTACAAGCCATGCATGGCAACGCAACCTTTTTCTGCACAAAACCCACGTTAAAGTCTCATTTGTGAGAGAACCGGAAAAAAAAAATCAAAATTCAAGGGGGAAAAAAGAAAATCTCCGGAAAGACGAGAATTTTAACTAGTTCTTACCCGCTTTCTCTCAGATACAAGATAGAGGGTCTTGAGAGTAACAGTAGAAGCCAGGTTGAGAGTGAAAATCCCACCCAAGATGACTCCAGTTCCCATAGCCAACGTTCGCAATGACCTCGGATTCATATCGTGCAATATGTGTGCCTTCCAAATTCTTGCGTTCGGGAGCAGTAGGGATTGACTTAACTCTCTTCTGGTGGGCTAAATTTCAGGTGCTAGCTTAAAAGAAAACATAACTAAATCTAATTCAGCTCAATTTCTATCCTTTGCCACGCTTGTGTCTGGTTTTGTTGCTCTGCCCAGTCTCTCTTGCCCTCTCTCTCTCGTCCTTCTCTTCGTCTCTGTCTTGGCCACTCTCGTGCACGCCTTCACTCTCTCTCCGCCGCAGTTTTGGTCCTGCGCCTCCACTGAGCACAAACGGGTCGTCACATTCAAGCTAAGTGGCTCCTTCTTTTCCCCCTCTTCCGCCTTCCATGTAAAAAGCACAGCAGCTCAGATTCGTGAATTCATCCAAGACCTGCAATTCTGCACAACAGCTCCCTTTCTCGTACCTCATCCGCCATCATCATCCACAACGAACAAAACCACGAGAAAATTTTTTTCCCACTATTAAATTGAAATAATTAAATACAATCCAATCCATCCAAAATGCATCAATTTTTTTCATTCATCGGTGAAAAGAAGTACAAGCAAAAAAATTGTCATTCCTTTTCTTGGGTTGTTACCCAGTGGATTCAATTGGGCTCAGGATCTGGATTTCTCTTGTATTGGATCGGACATTTCTCCCTTGAGAAACTAAAACAACAAAGTGTTTTCGGGTCCAATAAATGTTCACAAGATAGGTGTAACGACAACAGGGGCAATGGGTTGTTGGGCCTAAACTTAAGAGATATATTGTAGTCATGCAAGGTGGTCGGATTATATTTGAAATAGAAGCCATGTCCCCAATGTATTGAGTTTCACGGCATTCGGCAACTCTTCGTCGTATTCAGTTGGTTTCATGTTCTGAGTAACACTTCACGGACTTGAAAATAATATCATGACAGTACTGTAAAGTCAAATGTGGCTTGCAACGAAACAAAATCCTAGCTAAAGGTCGACTTGGTTGGTTGTTGTTTTTGTTCTGGAAGCCAAGAAAACAAAAAACGCAAAGAAGATGTTCTCTACTTCACAAAAAACGAATGCTGCTGCTTCCAGTGCCTCAAGTTGATTAAGGTATCATTGTAAATAATCCCACTGGCTTGAAGAATATGTACGATATTCAGAAGCCCTCAGGCTTTTCAAGTTTCAGTACTGGACTAATTCCTTCCTGTACCATCCTATTTTTTATTCATATATATTAGGACTCGGAGTGATAGATATATACAGTCCTGACGTGAATTAGGGATTATGATTAAGTCTAATTGTAACAAAATTAGGATAAAACTATAGTAAGATTTTCATCAGGACTGGATTATACGTCAGGCCGGATATACTCGTACAGGAATAGACATAGGACGCCATGGCCAAATGATATAGCACGCGAAGAATTGGGTTCAGGGGTTTTTGGCACCAAATATGCCAACCATGAAGCAACATTGGATATAGTGTTTTAAGTGGGTTTTGGCTCGTGAAAATGATAGACAGAAAGCACGAGAGAAAGAAAGGAAAATGGGAAGAATATGAATAAGCCATGACTAATGATGATTCTCCAACGTCGTCAATATGCATGGGTTACGATCACTGTCATTCTGAATCCTCGAGGGTACCCACCCCGAGAGGAAGAATCTTCTTTGGCTGTCCACTATATATACATATATTAAGCCACAATTCCTTGAACGATTATTTCTGGCAAAGCTTAACGGGAGTAACGAATAACCAGATGAAGGCACTGGAACCCAAAGAGGAAGACTGGATAACGGTGGTCGTTGATGGAAAGACCAACAGACCATCTGAACCAGGTTACGTTGTTGAAGCATTTATGCTTCCACTTACCTTGAAGCTGAATTATAGGCATGCCTCCAACGTGCTTGGGGCACTGGTGCTAGTAAATTAAAGTCATATATGCTTCTTAATCAGCCACTCCATGCAAGCTTCCAACCTTATCTCTGTGGATGTTTCGGAAATATGCAGTCCTACACTACAGGCTAGTCTCTTGTCACTGTAATCTTTTTGGCGATTACATGTTCACTCTTTACGATAAGCAAGTAATTAAAAGGAGTTTTTACAAGGAAAGCAGAGGTGCCCAGAGATCGTCGGGCGAGGCTCCAGCCTCGCGCTCCTACCCATCAACGGCGTACTTTTTGGGACCAATGTGTCCGAATTGATAGTATTTTGCTTTCATCTCTTATCAGATATATTACCTTTGCCACTAATTATAGAAGCCAGTTGACTAATTTGAAGAGATTAAGAAAGTAAGTTGAGTTAGTTATTTGTCTTAAATAAGTGTTGTCTTTTCTAAAATATCCTTGTTAATCAAATGTATTAATCAGAAATATCATTGTTAGAAGGCTATTTTGAAAAAAAATGTATAAATATGAGAGAAAAAGTGGATTTTGATCTTGTATTTAGGACCAAAATAAAAGTCAAGAGGGTTTATATTAAGAACCGGAGGTAGTATATGATATAAAATCTAATTATCATATTTATTAATTTTTTTATTCTTATTGATACTCTCTCAATTACAATCAAGTAGGAGGGAAAGGTAGGGTATTAAGAAAGATGATTTTAGTATTTTAGAAAAAACATGTCATATTTTTTACAATTAGCTAACTCACCTAACTTTTTAAATATAATTAAATCAGTTAAATAACAATTCTATTAAGGAGTATGTATATACATGGTCTTACACCATATCTAATAACATTTTGAATGTTTTTTTAATAAAAAAATTGAGGGTTACCGCCCGCTGGTGTAAGACGTTCAATATTTTCTAGTTTCTACTAAAAGTAGTTTATGGTGAATAGTTAACATCATTAAAAAAAAAAAATAGTTTCGGTAGACCAAGGCTAGCTGGGGCCCAAACAGGAGTCACGTGCGGAGGGAGGGAGGGTGGGGGTCAAATCATGCCTCAGACATAACAAAATCGGCGCCGACGTAAGATGCGATAATTCAAAATTAAAAACAGTTTAAATTTCGGGAAATTAATGAGGAGATGCTTCGAGCGAACCTCTGTCATCCACGTCAGCACACAGCCCTCGCCCATGATTCCTCTATTTCGGTATTTTCTCCGTTCCATTTCCACAAATTCACTTTCCTCCCACCTCTTCCTTTCTCTCTCTTCCCCGCAGAACTGGCTTCTTCAATCTCTTTCTTCTCTCTTCTCCCAGCTAAACCTATTTCCCTTCAGTCGATTCCTTCGCACCTACCAAGCCTCGTCTTCTAGAACCCCGAAGATTTGACTTTTCAATCGGTGTTCGGTAATTAATCGAATCCCTAATTTTTTTCAATCGCCGATTTTGATCCCCAAGCGCGTTTCTTTTTGGATATTAATCGTTCGTGTTTCTTCTGTGTACGTATCGATCCGGCTTTATTGGGTTTCCGATGCAGTTTAATTCAGGCTCCAAACTCGCTTTCGGGTGAGGAAGTGGGTTCTGAAGATATTTATTTGCATTTTGTGCCGGTCTGAGGGGGCTTGGCGTGTTTGTTCTGCTCGAAATGAATTTGTGAATTTGACGTCGTGGTTGTGATTTTTCATGAGTTCTATTGTGGATATTATACTGGATGGTCGTTGTGGTTGTCGGCGCTCTCTATTTCTTGGACTGTGACAGGAGCCGGGTTGTGGTGGACTCAGCTTGAACTTTTAGTTAGAGCACACAGCGTTCTTGCAATTGGATTTTATTTCAGAGCCATCAATTTAGAATGCTTCTCTGATACAAGCTAATTGCCACGCTTATATATTTAGGTCAATCAGTGATAACTTTGTTGGGGGTTCCCTTCTGTTCGGGGTCTCTCCTTTTTCGGGAGGATGGTGTTGCTCTTAGAGTTTAGAAGTAGTATAAGGTTCGAAAATGTTGCTAGTCTATTATTTGAAACTCTATAATGTATGATTACTCAGCCAAGTAGGTTCATTTGATAAAATTTTGCTATAAATTATAATAGTGAAATTTGTAGTTCTTGTTAATTTTGAATCCTGTTATGTCTGCAATCTTAATCGCTGATAATTGCTGTTTTCACTGTCTTTGTTGGTTCTTAGTATCATTCTGAAAGTACTGAATGTGCCATTCTGTTTGTAGTTGCATGATGTGATTTGATTGTTGTGTTTTCTAAACATGAGGACTTATCTGCAAGGTTCCCCCTGTTTGTCAAGTATGATCGTTTGAGTGGCAGATTGTCCTTATTTCTTACGCCCTCATTCTTCTTCTTGGGGAGTAAGCCGGGGTCCTGCACACGTTTATCATGCTTGCAAACTAACAGAAACACAAGTGGATGAAAGCCTGAAATGAAATTTGCACATTTTCGATGATTTAACATATCTCAAATACAATAATGCAGGATTTAGTGGAGTGCAAATATGAAAAATTGAAAATTGTGGCGCTGATGTATTACAACACCGAATGTAACTTACAATCATGTACGTTGATGATGCATTAATGAGAGCTGTAGGAAGGAGAAGGAAAAATGATATAACGTGTGACTGAGTTTAAGAAATTGTTCAAGCCTTGTAAGAGTTAAGCCTTAGATATCTCCAATTAGAAGAAGACTTTGAATCCCTTCTTGTTATTAGTTTTTCTACATTTAGAAACAATACTTGAAACGATGCGTTAGATATGGAGTCTGATATTTCAGTATGCCTAACTGAGGATGATACTGATAAGCTAAGGACCGTCTCGCAGTTTTGGAACTTTGAATTTTGATCTATTCATGTCATGTGGCCATGCCTTGAGACATGTTCAATGTCTTTAGTTTTTTCCCCCCTTCTTTTTAGCGCTTGGACATCTTAATCACCCATTATTTTGGAACTGAGGATGATACTGATAAGCTAAGGACCGTCTCGCAGTTTTGGAACTTTGAATTTTGATCTATTCATGTCATGTGGCCATGCCTTGAGACATGTTCAATGTCTTTAGTTTTTTCCCCCCTTCTTTTTAGCGCTTGGACATCTTAATCACCCATTATTTTGATCTAAACAATTCTAGAAATATGTGCCATGTGCTTTACTTCAGTTTTACCCAATTTTTCATGGATTGAATACTACTTTTGCTCAATTTCTCATATTGGTGCTATCTGTATGTAGTTTCAAAATCATTCTTAGTGGAGACCTTGGTGTGTTTATTAAAACACTGAATATCCAGTATGGCAAAGGAGAGAAGAGATAGTTCTTTGGCACATGATAGTGGCAGAACATCAACTAATCCAAGTAGTTCTAGTCGTGTCAGAAGATCTACACCAAAAAATCCTATGGAATCTGAAGAAAATGCCAAAGAATGGGAAGAAGCTAGGTGTCCTGTCTGCATGGATCATCCTCACAATGCAATTCTCCTCATTTGCTCATCCCATGAGAAGGGATGCCGCCCTTACATGTGCAACACTAGCTATCGCCATTCAAATTGTCTCGATCAGTTCTGCAAGTCATTTGAAGAAACTTTACCAACAACTCCCCAGGTAGAGGTTCAGATCTCAAACCCTGAGGTGACTCGGACCACTGAAGCAAATCCTGTTGATATACAAGATGAAGGAAGTGAGGGATCTGTTACAATTCACTCTTTATCATGCGAAGATCATTCAAAAGCAAAGTTGGTATGTCCTCTTTGTCGGGGGCAAATAAAAGAAATGAAAGTTGTAGAGGCTGCTCGCCGTTTCATGAATGAAAAATCAAGAAGCTGTTCCTGTGAGACATGCAATTTTAGTGGCACATATGCAGACCTCAGGAAGCATGCAAGGCTTGAACATCCTCTCGTGCGGCCATCAGAGGTAGATCCAGAACGGCAGCGCAACTGGAGGCGGTTAGAGAGGCAGAGGGATCTTGGGGATCTACTTAGCACACTGCAATCTTCCTTTGGGGAAAATAACAGGGCTGACGATGGTCTCCTACCAATAGATGATGGTGGCTTGCTAGCTGTATTTTTTCTCATTCTTCAACCTTCATCTGTGAGGGGTTCCTCAGGAACCAGACTGCAAATGCGCATAAGAAGGAGATCTACTAGGCATTGGGGAGAAACCTATGATGAGGGGCAATCTGGATCCTCCTCTAGAGATGATGAAAACGAATCTTCAGATGGTGGGTCTGGTACTTGGAGGCGCCGAGTTCGGAGACGGATAACACCTGAGAATGAGCCATGAATTTCCAAATGCATCTAGTTGTTTACCTCGAATGTTCCCAAGTGGGCCTTTTTTTTTCCTTCCCTTTTTTTTTTCCTGCCTTTGGATAACCTTGTGATTTTTCAAGTGGTGATGAATCAGTAGTGGCTCTCTAAGTTGATTCTGTTTGTTACAGGTGGAACACAAGGAATGAAAGGGGAATTTTCGGATTATATCCTCCATTCTGCTCCATTTCCCGTGGGACAGTTTTTGGAGGTTCTTGTTGTTAAAAGAAATGGGAGAAAGTGTTATTCAACGAGGATTCCTCATACTGTATATTTAATTTAATATTTTTATTCCTCCACAATCAGTGCTGCGATTTCTCGGAGATTTAGAACAATGGATGTTGCAAAACTTGCAATAAAATCTACGCGCTTTATCTCGTTGCATTGGCAGAATTTGATCTGACGATTGAGTTCATTCCTCACGGTTTGCCGGCGGAGGATTACTTAAAGCAAATGACTAGAATAAGAAGTAATGAGAGCGTAATTAGTAGTTGCAGGTTTATAATTTGGTATATAATGCATTGATTGAACTTGACTCACTCGGGGGGACGGAACAAACGGATTTCTCCCCCCTCGGGGGGTTGGGGATGCGAATTTCGCTCGTACTCCCAAATGTGTCGCGTGAGCTGTCAACTTGTGAACCGTCAATTTTTTAGCTCTTCCAATTTTTAATATAAATTTAATATGTTGATCTAAATTTTAATTGTAAGACATTTATTATATTATCAAATTTTTTCTAATCATCGCATGTTTTTAAAAAAATCATGATGATTAGCGTGTTTTTTATAAAAAAAAAAACATGTTATATTTGTTATAATTAGTCAGCTGATTTAATTTTTTTAATTTAATTAAATTAGTAAAATGAATTTTATATTAAGAAGAGTAATTCATAGATAATGATAGAGAAGGCTATGATGCTCTGATGCAGCAGGTCATGTATCAATTATTTGGGGTGGTAGTCTTTCTTCCCCGCTTATTTTTCTTTTCTTTTCTTTTTCGTCTTAAATTATTGTGGGTGGGATAAAGATACTAAATTGACGAGTTCGCCCGTACGTTGACTGTTGGATAGTGAAGCATGGATGTGGTAGAGCCTCTTATTGTTTAATGATGGTTTTAATCCAAGATAGTAAGCCAGATTCTAAGTATAATTTGTTGACAGATGTTGATTTAATTGGTAAAAATTAATTTATAACTCAAAAAATTAAGTTGAAATTTTACTACGATTGTAAATGCTTTTTGAATCTGAAAACATACAAAGGTATGCTTTGGTTTTAGTAAGTTACGAGAACTTAATTCACTTACAAATTTTAATAATTCAATTTATAATCTGAAATATTCTTCTGGCAAAAAAAGGAATAAGATTATAATATTAGTAATACCGATTTAAGAAGTTCTTAAACTAACAATCTAAAGCCAAGGTCGACCGAAATTCTTACAGATGTATCACTTTTTTTTTTTTTTGAGTTAATTACAGATGTATCACTTTCATGGTAAATTATCAACCGAAATTCGTATACTTAAAAGTATTTTGTTTTTAAAAAAATGTCAAGGTCCTTTGGCTCAACTGAATATTTTTAAGTTTTATTTAATTACGAGGATGCGTATTTCCTTCAGGTCGGCAAAAAACAAGTATATTTAAAAAAATGAAAAATTATAAAAGTTCAAAAATGCGTTTTATTTAGTCCCATATTAGATACTACCTCCGGTCCTTAATATAAGACCCTATTTGACTTTTATTTTGGTCCTAAATATAAGACCTCAATCCACTTTGTCTCTCATATTTACTCAATTTTTTCCAAGATAGTCCTTCTAATAATTATAGTTCTAGTTAATACACTTGATTAGCAAGGATATTTTAGGAAAAATAACACCTATTTAGAACAAATAACTAACTCAACTTGCTTCTTTAATCTCTTTAAATTAGTCAACTGACTCTTATAATTAGGACAGGAGGTAGTATTACCCGATAGGCTGATACAGCACAGCTGCAGGGTCATACTCCGTAAACAAGCCTAACGGCAGAACTTCATATAACAAACGGCGATGAAGGAATTCGTTTTGAAACGCTGAGAGTGCTCTGACCTATTTCTTCACCATCATTAAACAGTACAAAGCTCTCCTTGCCATTTGTTTACTTGCTGGCTGGGGGAGGGGATGGATCCCTGAGACTCAGACTCATTCATTCTGTCTTTTTCGTGGATGGAGTGTGTCGGAAAAGGATCAGTGTTTTGATTTGGAAGGTTGTTCTGGAATTCTTTGAATGTCTGTTGAAATGGCGACCTCCAAGTCGACATCTGATTGTAATGGGGTAAAAACTAACGACTGGACAACTGTCGTGTTAAACGTCTACGATCTCACTCCTCTTAACAACTACACTCATTGGATTGGATTCGGAATCTTCCACTCCGGAATTGAAGGTAAGAGCCGCCTTTTGCTTTCACCATTGTTACTGTCTATTCTTCGTTTCTTGAACTAGTTCACATCTGCTTGCTTGATCTTGGCAAGAACCATATTAGTAAGATGAATACGCTCATTTTGTGTGGCACAAGACATCGCATTGTGTGTGTGTGTGTGTGTGTAGCGTTTGGTTGCACTTCTGGATTACACAAAATTCAACTGTTGCTTGGGAAAATTCTTTTATTCCCTTTTTTCTCGTGGGCAAACTTCATAAATCTTATTACTTCACTGAATGTGTATGTAATTTTAGCTCGGTCCGTCTGTTACTTCGACTCAGGAATATGTTAGTGTTTTGATTAACCTAAATAGAATGTAATTTGCTCTGGATTCTGGAAGGGTGACAGTGAATGACTATCCACTTGCTGTGGAAGCACAGTGAATGATTAGTGTTATGTCGCGGCAATTAGCAGCACAAGCGTGGTGTGTATGGCTGCAATTAATTCAAGTGCAAAATCGATTGAACCCTGAAGTGATTTTACATATGTTGTCATGTTCTATGTAGCATTGCTATGGATACAAATTACTATGTTGCTGTAACAAGGCTGATAATCTAAAAGTTGACGTACCAGAACCTTTCGCTATATGGGTCAGTAGCAAATATGGCTCTAGGACAAGGAATACTTAGATCCAGACACGCATATGATGTGAAACAACAAAACAAATAATCATCATGTTGGAGTCTGTACGTGTCATGGGAGGAGAGACAGGGCAAGAATTGGTTTATACTTACTACTATCTGTTTAATACCCTACTCATCAAGATTTATCCCTTCTTTTGACTATGCAATACCCTTTGTTCTTGTTTGAAAGGAATGAATAATGTTTTGTCAGAATTATTTTGAAAATGTTGTTCTTCAATTAAAGTTTTTGTGGTTTCTGCTGATGTTTTTGACCTGTTGTTTGAAAATGTTGTCATTCAATTGTTGTATTCTTGTTTGAAAGGAGCTTTAATTTATCATATGTTTTGGGGGTGGGGTATTTAAACAGTATATGGCAGAGAGTTTGGGTTTGGAGCTCATGACTTTCCAACAAGTGGAGTTTTTGAAGTGGAGCCAAGGAAGTGCCCTGGATTTATATATAGACGTTCCATCACTTTGGGCCAAACAAACATGCATCCATCAGAGTTTCAGATATTTATTGAAAATATGGCTTCAGAGTATCATGGGGATACCTATCACCTTATCTCTAAGAATTGCAATCATTTTACAGATGACCTCTCCCGTAGATTGACAGGAAAGCGAATCCCTGGCTGGGTGAATCGTCTTGCCAATCTAGGTAAAACATTTTCAGGAATTTCTTCAAGTATTCATTTACTCAATCTTTAACTCATGTCTACTTATGAAGCCGACAGTAGTTCCTTTCAGCTTCTAGATTTACTTAGCTAAGTCAGAATCACATTACTGGTCGCACATCAATGTTTTGTCTACCTATGTTGTGAATTTTTTGAGGTTCCGCGTCATCAAAGGTCAAAACATTCCTTGAACATTTGCTGAATCTTAATCCCCGTGTGCAATGTAAAAATAAAGTCATTTGTAGTTCATGATGTTTAACTTGAGTTCAAGTCAAATGTCAAAAATAGACTGACAATGATTTCAGGTTTGGGTGAAGGCTTTAGTCCAGTCCATCTTTTATTCAGCAGAGAAAATTCCTTCCTCCAGAGTTATTATCATGTAATTTAAAGGCTAATGAATTTAATAATTTGCATAGTTTTCTCGCTTCTAGTAATGGTCTATAATTTTTAGCTACTTTACCCCCCTTCTGGAGGCATATCTGTCAGAAGATATAGTGAGCTGAATTCTGAGTATGACCTTTTGGTTCTACTTTCAGGTGCTCTGTGTAGCTGCCTGCTCCCCGAAAGCCTTCAAGTATCTAATGTCAAACAACAAATGCCTGAATGCCACCTCCATACGGGTGTGTATATTTTGTTTTTCGTTAATCGTTAATGGTATTAACTTGATATGTATCCTAATGTTAACGTAACGTGTGTAACTTTTCTTGGTGTTGGCAGATGACGACGATCAAGAAACAGATGATGATGAAGAAATAAATGACAATCAAGAAGAGAAGCACCTTTTGCCGTCGCCTGGATCTGAAGATGTTTCTTTTGTTAAAGAGGTCCAAGCAAAATAAAAAAAGCGGTGTGTCTTGGGTGATAAAAAGAACTCCCAGTGAGAAAGAAACGCCCATGATGCAGGCTTTTTTGCGTGAATATCACAGTTTATTGGATTTGCATCGGCTTCTTCCTGAAAATTCTCCCATTCTTTGGCCTGAAGCATTGAAACAAGATCTTGTGCTGTATTGTCTTCCCTGTGACATTTTTTTGGGGACAATTATTTGTTTGTGGACTAGGATTATTTCTTTCTGGGGCTGCTGGCGCCCCCGTAAATGACATTAACACGTGGAAATTGTCTAAATTGTGATTATTTAAGAGCAGCAGAGCCACTTTCTTGGACTTGAGGTGTTTCTCGGGTTTTCATTTGTTGGAAGTTTGTATTATGCCATTTGTTTAGCTCTTCTTTTTTTTTTTTTTAATAAATATTTTGGTTTTATTCTTGCCAATGAGGATTGTGATTTGGGGACTTGTAAATGATTGTGTCAACAAAGTTGTTAAACTTGCGAGTTTAAACAAACTCGTGATAATGATGTAAACTCGGATTGTGAACTCGTAAGAGTTTACTTTTATTAATAAACTGATATTAAAAATATATAATCAAATAATTAATATATAAAAAATGAGAATAATTTTATTTAATTATATTTTAAATTTAAATAATTGAAATTATATCTATTAATATTCATAATTTATCATATTCAACAAAAAAATTTCTATAAAAATCATATATAAAGTCACTAAACATAATTAAATTAAAAAATTTAGCGTGAGTTTAAGAGTAATTTGACACGATTTTGTAAGCTAAAAACGTAAAAACGGTAAACTCGGTAAATGAACTCGTAAGTTTAACTGAGTTTACAGTTATCACGAGTTTATAAATGAGTCGACATGATTTTGTTAGCTGAAAATGTAAAAACGTTAAACTTGAAAAGTCAACTCGTGAGTTTGATAACAGTGTGTGTCAATATGCTATGTGGTGTTTTGTTTTTTCGTTTTTTTTGTTTTTGGATCAGCGGTTTGTGTAGATACTGTTAATGATAATTATCTGTAACTGCTACTGAGTTACCATGATGGGGGGATGAATTTTCAAGGCCAAAAGATTGAATTCATTGAATATTAAGATGTAAGATTGGAGAATCTCAAAACAAAGACCGAAAGTGTTTTGAGCGATTTTATCCAAAAACTGAATTTAATAGGATTTTTTTGAAGTAAAATGACTCATTCCACTTGTAAATTTATGATTATGAGAGTGTAAATTAGGGAATAAAAATATCAAACCGCTAAAAATCATATAATATAGTTAACTAGTTGCTTCCTTTTTTTTTCCCCCAGAAATATATGAATCTCACTTACAAATTACTTCCACAATAATTTATAAATAAGACCAAGGAAAACCTTTTCTTACTATCCTATAAATAGGACTAGAGGAGTAATTGTTATGAAGTTGCATATTAGCATTTAGTAGCATGAGAATCAAACCACTAAATCATAATTCACACTCACTTGCAAATGAGCAGCCAAAGAGTTGCATATCAGGATGTATCAAGTCCTCACAAGTTATCTTTAAAAGGCAACCAATGCAGAAGGATCTCACCAAGTAGGGTATAAAGAGAGATAAATGTACCGTAATCTTGCTCCCACACAAGCAGAGAGGCTGTTTTCAGAATTTAAACTCATAACCTCAAGGTCATATGGCGGCAATCTCATTGTTATTCCAAGGCTGCAGGTCGCTTTAGGTCACATGGCAGTAACTTGGCACCACATTGAGTTGTTAAAATTATTTTCTAGTTTAAAGAATCTGATATTTAACAATTGAAGTAATTTGAAATTTAGATCTTATACTACCGTTCCATAATTTAGACATTAGTTCAAGGAATAAAATCCCCTGTTCGAAAATAACATCAATGAGAAGAATCGAGCCTACAATGGTAGTGACAAACTAACAATGCATAAAAGTCTAGCCTCCTGCAAAAGTACCTCAGCATTCAGCAACATCCCCCCACCATATTTATAAAATTGTTTCAAAAGTACGATTCTGTCAAAGGGGCACATCAAATGTTTACATATACCATTGTTGAATCAACCGAGTAGAAATTCTGAGAATACATAGAGAAATTCTGAGGGGTATCCATTTGACATCTTTGCGCTTTTCCTAGCTGACTTGAAATCAAAAACCATCTATGCAGCTTTTCCCTCCAGACCCAATTTAGAAGTTAGCCAAGCACACACCTCGTCCATCTCTTCAGGAATCGTGTAGTGGCCCAGCCTGTTAGAAATAAACCAGTGAATTATGAGGCCTAGTAAATATAATCAGAATGTGAAATGAGATTCAAAGAACCAGAACAGAGTCTTCTGGAAGGGATTTTTTTTATTAGTACCCATTATAGGATTTAAAAGTTACGTCCTGGAATCCAGCTGAACCTAAAGCCTTTGATGATTTCTCACCAAATTTGTAGGCAACCACATCATCACCTGCAAAATTGAAATATTGTATGTATATGTCAATATTAAGAGTCCATAGTAACAGCTGAAATCACCTACAGGCTACATTTGCGATGCCATAGAAGAAATCAGACTTGTTCTTCAGCATTACATGAGCTCATCCTATCAAGTTGTATAAACGAGGAATATATTCAGTTTGTAATCTTTGTGTGCTAGAGCTTAATAAGAAAATCAAGGAAATACCACTTCCAACAGTTTTCCTAGCAGCCAGGTTCTGAACTCTGGCTTTAGTTTGCATGCTGACAGAAACTAATTTACAATTGAGATGAGAATGATCAAGGACCTGTTTACAATGACTTATAAGTAGCATTTCAATTGTGATTAACAAAATAAAAGGTCGATATGTAAGAGAAGTTTTGTTTCAGCATATGTAAAATGTACTTATAAGTGCTTATACAAGTGATGCTAAACAAGCACCAAGACAGGTCACTTATGTTTTATACAGTTCATCATAAAACTAAATTTAACAGTGATAGGAGAAGATGCTAGCGCAAGTTTCAGCGAGGATTTCATAGGATCAGCTCCAATGGATTCATTTCGTATGAGAGATAAATGTAACTAACTACCTTTCCCGTGACACAGCAGAATAGGCAAGGATTGGGCCCGGTTGTTGGCTTCCACCACTGCTTGCATATTGCTATTCAAAGTCCTAGATAAGAAAAGAATCATCGCCAAATATTATGCAAAGAAATGGCAGGGTGTATCAAACTGAGATGAGGTGGAGCAGCATTAAAAGGCCATACTTTGCACATGGAAGCCAGCCACTTAAACCAACTACCGCACTCAGGTTGGCCGGATATGGTTTGTGATTCCCATATTTTCCAACACTAAAACATGTTCCAGAGTAAAGGGCAGTAGCCGCTCCCATGCTGAACCCTCCAACACCAAGTTTAACTGTCCCATATACAACAAACGTAGAATAATATTAACACATATAATAGCCTTTTTTTGGCTGTCTGTTGACAAAAAAACAAACTACAAAGACAATCATTATTATCTAATATGAAGACACCACTAATAGTGCCACAGCCCTCAATTTGAAGACTTAATTCATCTGCCAAACTTCACAGTACATATAACATTTACTATTGCCAACTTATATGCAATACAAAATCTATGATAGCTAGGTTTCATAAATGACTATCCTTAAATAACACTACTTGTTGTTGACAGTAAAAAGGAAATGTACTTGGTGTTTTTTGGTTATGATCTCTCACTGTTGGAAGAAGAATGAATCTTGTTAGAAGAATTCACTGTTGCTACCCTGAGACCAGAAATCTAGAAAAAGAATTACATGGCTTGTTGCTTGCGCTACTCCTTTCTTTTCCTTGCATTTTTTAGTATTTTATTAGAACCAGACATCAGAACCAAGCCAACCTCCAGTCCAGGATGATTTGACAAAATTTGGAAGGGAAAAAAAAAAGAAAAAAAAAACGAAACATAGTGTAAAAGTTGGGCTTAAGCATGACAACCTGTTAATAGGACATTCATTTTGTCGCAAAGTTCAGCTAATCTAACTAGTTACAGAAAAACTTCAGAATTAAAAAAAAAAAAGGTGTAAATTTCATGATGTTGCACGAGAAACCTACTGTCAGGAGGTTCTGTTGACAACAGATTTGCCACATGAGCAGCTGAAGCATCCAAACCTTCTACATCATCAGGAGCATCTTCCGAGAGGTCTCCCACATCAAACCCTGTCAGATATTAGATAAGCAGTTCAAATCATCAAGACCAAATCTTAGGTTACCATCAGTTTTTAATCCTAAAGCTTTGCTTTGACTCCAAGAATGCTTTTTTTTTTTTTAACTTCATTAATTCTAATAAACATGAGAAACATTAAGTAATCATACCAACAAGAAGCCATTATAATGCACTTGCCAAATGGCTGCAAATAAGTCTTTTTATAATACTTGAAAAATAAGGGTGAATAGGTATAATTGTATTGTAGCAAGCTCAAACTTACAAGCAGTAGAAGGAAAGCCACCAAATACACGTATTGGTTGAGTCGGAGCTGTTGGACAGATCCATTTAATCTGTAGCATATAAATTAACAACATGAAATCATTCAAGAGTACGGAGATTATCCCACAATTTCACATGATAAGGAACTATGCGGCCATCTCAGTCCTCTTCTTAACAATTCCATAATCCTTACATTTGGAAGTGGGAGAGTCTCTAATAGCTGGGACCAACTGTCAAAAGCAAAGCAGAAAACAATGATTTCAGTCATAATTGCATGAATATAAATTGGATAGAATTAAAGGCATCTTATCTCTAACTATTCTGCCTGCTCCCCCCCCCCCCCAAAAAAAAAAATGATGACTTAAAAGAGGGATGCAATGGGTGCCAAGAAAATTCAAATGCTGCTGCTATGGCTGCATATACTTGACTATACAACGAATTTACAAGCAATGCTAGATGCCGAGACATGTTTAATTAGGAAGAAGGAAGTGTACTAAGAAGAAGAAGGTAAAGGTTGCCACATAGAGAGACAGACGCTGTCAAGGGTGCAATGATTTTTTTCTTCCAAAAAGGAAATCCATACTTGTATACCTGACAGGGATACAAAAGGACATATCAAAGAGATATTTGAGCCTTGCTGTTCTCTACACTGAAGTTTACAGTTCCATAGAAGATAGAAGGAAAAAGAAGGGAAAATGAATTGAAATGTGGGGAGAAAGGATTAATAATAAATATGATCAATTTTAAAAAAATCAAAAGGAAAGAGAAATAAACAGAAAGAAGAAAGGAAAAAAAAAATTGTGATTACTAGTTGAAGGGAACCTGAATGGCGTTAAAAAAGACATATCATACAGATATTCGAGTCCCCCGTTGCTCTCAGTGCTGAACTTCACTGACCCGTTTGTTGATTAGAAGAGAAAGAAGTAAAAATACATTGGGAGAAAATATGAAAGATCAATAATAAGCAAGATCCGGTTTAAAAGTACCAAAATCTTACTTTAGCCTTTTATAGTGATATGAGAGAAAATAAAACTGCTTAAAGGGCCCATCCCATGGGAACTGCTTTAGAAAAGTTGCCAGAATACATACAAAAAAATTCACAGCCTATTGTCACCAAAACAAAAGAGAACTTAAGAACATACTTTCCATTCATATTTTCATGAACTTAGAGTGGCATTAGTTAGGGGAAAAAGCAAGAGGAAATGCCACATCACCTGGAGCCATTATCACCGAGGCCATGTAGCCAAACTATAGTGGCTTGGTGTTTACCTTTAGGCCTGACCACATGCGTTTTACCAAACTCAAAGACTCTGCCAAGAGATCTTTTACCTGTAACGGAGCATTATGAAAGTCAGAGACAAGCGATTACTCCCCTTCCGTTAACTCTAAAGTGAATAACACAGCCCATTCATGCAAATAAATACCAGATACTGGCAAAAAGATTCCCCAGTTGATAAAAGACATCCTAAAGCATCGAGTATATTACTGTCTCTACAGAGAACATACCAGAACCAAGTGATGATCCAGGGAAGCTCATGTTACTTGCAAAAACAAAAGCACCTACTCGGCAATCTTAGTGCTGAAATTAAGAGACATCCACATTTTTCAGTCAACACATAAACCCAGAGAACGAACCCCATAAAGAAGCTGAAAACAAAACTTGACAATAAATCCTAATGCTGGCAGTAACAATAAGAGTCGCGGACAAAAATGACACTCATTTATCCCCAATATGAAAAAACACTAAACCCAAATCTGCTCAGTTGAAAACAAAACTGCGCGAACCTGTTCCCAAAGAAGAAAGAAAGAGCAGCATAAGACTATCAAAGTTCTAATTTTTAATTACAACCAGAAGGGATTCGTAATTTTTTGAACAAACCTTGGTTGCTGCTCGGTGATTCCGAAGATTAAATCGGATCCTTCGAGAGGTCGCGCTTCTTCTACCTTCGCTCAATTTGCTCTTGCTATTCGGACCTCTTCCGGATTATTGATTACCGATTATAGGAACAGTGTACTGGTTGGGGGACACGGAATGCGAATCTTCACCGTTCATCTAGCGCTGAGTTAAATACATGAGCGCCACGTTTCGTTGACCTAAAATTACGACAAAAATTTCAGGAGAAATTCTTACGTCCCAGCTCCCAGGTCTTTTGTCGAAACACCAAACTCAAGGAGTTTTAGTCTCACGTGTCAGCGAATTATTTTCCAATTCATTTCTTGTTTTAAAAAAATTAAAGTGCTTAGGTTCTGTCTTTTTAATAAAAACCATAACAAATTCTTCTTTTTGGATCGAGCAAAAAAAGTACTTGTGTTCTCGGTTTTTAGCTATCAGTGTTGTGTTGACAGACTTAGATGCTATCTCTAATTTTAATTATAAAAACCAATGATTAATTTAAGAGATTAAAGAAAAAAGTTAAATTAGTCATTTGTCATAAATATGTGTTATCTTTTTTAAAATATTCTTGTTAATCAAGTATATTGGCTAGAACCACCATTGTTAGAAGGACTATCTTAAAAAAATGTATAAATATTAGAGATAAAGTGAATTGGAGTCTTATATTTAGGATTAAAATAAAAGTCAAATAAAGTCTTATATTAAGGACATGAGATAGTAGTAACCAAGGGTTGATTTAACTGAAGGATTAGTTTCTTACAGTATGATAAATTAAGAATCAAATTTATATTAAGGGAGATGTTTATATTTAATACTCAATATTGTCTTAAATAAAATTATCCCTGTCTATTATTGTTTCCTATCTTTAATTTACAAGCCCGTCGAAAGTTGGATTATAAGAATTTAATCTATTTTTATTTCTCATCTTTATTATTTTTTTAAAACTAATATCGTCTAATGTTATATCATGTTATATATATATATATTCTTTATTATAGTTAACTCTTTTATTTAATCTTGTTAATCTCTCCAAATTAATTGAAAAACTCATATATTAAGAATAACAAAATTAATTACATTTACATGTGTTAATATAACATAAAAGCAATAAAGGAAAAGAGATTATTCGCTTCAAAAACAAATTGCATATCAGACAGTTTAGATTAGAGCAGAGTACAAAAGAATCATCAGAAAACAAGTAAGACAAGAGAACAAACAGAAGTTATTAAGATTCTAAATCTATTTCTAAAGGAGGCTGCCAGCTTTTGTTTGTCTGAATAATGAGAACTAAGCAACATGAATGATACATAATCCGAAGGAAGCCCCATGAATCATTTCCTTTTGCATTCATATAGCTTTTTTTCTTTTTCAGACTACTTGGATTGAAGCAAATATTAAAAAAAAATACTTAAAATTATTAAAATGGACCATCAATGGATAAGCTGCATTTATGAAAACAACAAAGGGACATTCCTTGAAGATGAAACATATTTTGACTTTAAGAATTTAAAATAAAAATACACTCGATTGTTTGCAAAAAAGAGTACGCATGATTAATATGAAAAAATATAGAATATTTTAAGTTTAAAGTTTTTAGCATAAATAACTTATCCCTATTAATGTTCAATTCAACATTTCAATATAAATTACAAATTACAGAATTAATAAGAAAAAAACTTCTTGTAAGTTTATTTCAAAACATGGACAAATAATATAACAAAAATTAACGGATAATAAAATTAATATTTCCGTCCTTTTTCTTTCCCGATATCACTCACAAAAGGTCGGACCATGACGCCGATATTTAATTATTTATTTATTATGCTGAGAAGGCAGAGAGAGACGACATAAACAAACCGTAGATCACTTGAAGGCTGAAGCCTACCGCCAAACCAAACTGCCCTAAAGAAAATTGAAGGCTCATTCTTTGTTGCGGAGCACTGAGTGAGATGGGCAGCTCAGCCGGCGCCGCCGTTGATGGCCGCACTCATCCGGTGGACAAGGGCGTCGATTATGCTCAGTACTTTTGCACCTATGCCTTTTTATATCACCAGAAGGATATGCTCTCCGATCGGGTTCGCATGGACGCTTACTTCAATGCTATTTTTCAGAACAAGCATCACTTCCGTGGCAAGGTTTGAACGTTATTTTATGTTTAGTTGGTTCGTCTGGATAGAGGACAAGCTGATTGCTCCTCTGCACTCTCATTTATTGGTAGTCGAAGTATGTCAAACCATTGGTCGACTTCTTTTGATGCGGTTATGGAAGAAGTTTTGCTGGTTTGTAGTTTGGAAAATGAACAAGATGAACAACACTTACCTAGCTATATTGTTGCGACACTGCATATTGCAATGTGTTTGGTTTTTGTTTATTTGTCTCCTCTCGTGAGAATGGATTAAGGAATCAAGACTTGCGAGAGTTTCTAAAACAATAGAACAAATAAAATTTTCTTTCCACCTTTAGCATGTAGTAATAATTTACCAAGAGGAACTTTGTTGGGTTGTTTGTTCTGTCTGAAGCAGGCAACATTAATTAAATTGTTATTTATAATTTTATCTGGGACTGATTTGGGCTGACTTAAGTGATTTAAA